TGTGTAAAGAGTTTCAGTATTTCAGTATTTATTTATTAATTAATTAATATAAATATAGTTTTTATAAAAATAACTTCTATAAAACCCAAAAAAAAAAATATATGTATAATTATCACAATATAACCGGCCCGGCCCAGTTATGATTATGTCATTATCAAGAGATGACACATGTTATCATTCTATTAATCCAAGAAACCTATAAATAAAGGCATGGAAGAAGGAGGAAGGGATACATAAATTGAGAATTTGTAAAATACAGAAACTCTGCTAAAGAGTTTCAGTATTTATTTATTTATATAACAATATTTATTAATTGATATAAAAATAGTTTTTCAGTATTTATTTATTTATATAAAAATATTTATTAATTGATATAAAAATAGTTTTTATCTATATTTTTATTAAACGTGTAATGAGTTTCAGTGTTTTATTATTTATTTATTTATATAAAAAAATATTTATTAATTGATATGAAAAGAGTTTCGATTAAAAAAAATACTTTATAAAATTCTAAAATCTACCTAATAAAATTCTATTTATCTATTTATTATTACGAATTTTTTTATAAAAAGAAAATCTAATTAGACAAGAAATATTAATATAAAAAATATTTATTAATTGATATATAAAATAAAATAAAATAATATTTCTAAAACTTTACCACAAATTAGCGTTTCTTAATAAAATGAAATCTAATTAGACAAAGATATATTTAAAGAAAATAAAATAATTTCTATAAAACACAATCACAAATTACCTATATTATTTTCAATAAATCTCTATCACAACAAATATATATTTAAAGAGTTTCTATAAAACTTTAACACAAATTACCTATTAATCTATTTATTATGAGTTTTTTAATAAAAAGATTCTAATTAGACAAATACTATTAATATAAAAAATTATTTATTAATTGATATAAAAAAGAGGTTTTAAAAGAGTTTCTATGAAACTCTAACACAATTTACTTATTTATCTATTTATTCTGAGTTTTTTTTAATAAAACTTTATCACATATAACCTGTATTTATCTATTTATTATGAATATTTTTACAGAAAATGAATTAATTTCTATAAAACTCGACTACAAATTTTCTATTTAATTTTCTTTAAAACTCTATCATATATAATCTGTATTTATCTATTTATTATGAATTTTTTAATAAAAAGAAATCTAATTAGACAAAGATATATTTAAAAAAAAAAATTAAATAAGTTATATAAAACTGTAACACAAATTACCTATTTATCTATTTATTATGAGGTTTTTAATAAAAGAAAATATAACTACACAAGAATTACTAATATAAAAAATATTTAATAACTGATATAAAAGTAAATAATTTTTCTAAAATTCTAACACAAATTACCTTTTATTATGAATTTTTTAATAAAAGAAAAAATAATTAGACAAAGATATATATATTTAAAGAAAATAAATAATTTATATAAATTTTATCAAGAATTACCTATTTTATTTTCAATAAACCTCTATCACATTAGATAAAGATATATTTAAAAAGTTTTTATAAAACTCTAACACAAATTACCTATTATCTATTTATTATTAGTTTTTCAATAAAAGGAATCTAATTCGGTAAATATTATTTAGTATAAAAAATTATTTATTGATTGATATAAAAAGAGGTTTTAAAAAAGTTTCTATAAAACTCTAATAACAAAAATTATCTATTTATTATGAGTTTTTTAGTAAAAGGAAATCTAATTAGACAAGAATTATTAATATAAAAAATATTTATTAAATAATATCAAAAGAGTTTTTAAAAGAGTTTCTATTAAACTCTAACATAAATTACCTATTTATTTATTTATTATGAGTTTTTTAATTAAAAAAAAATCTAATTAGACAATAATTATTAATACAAAAAATATTTTTTAATTGATATAAAAAATGCAATAATTTTTCTTGAAACTTTACCACAAATTACTTTTTATTATGGGTTTTTCTAATAAAAGGTCAAAATTTCAATATTAAAATAAATATTTTTTGTTAAATAATAAAAAAATATAAAATATAAATATTTCAATATTACTAGAAAAACCTAAAAAAAAATTATTATTCTACAACACTCAAACTCTACTACCAATTTCAAAATATTTCACTATTTATTTATTAATATAAAAAAATATTTTTTAATTAATATAAAAATAGTTACAAAAAATTACAATATAAAAAGAGTTACAAAAAATTACAATTTTTTGTAAGGTTTATTGTTAGAAGCCTCATATCAACAATGAAAAAAATATTTATGAAAACAAAAATTTTATAAGTTACAAAACATTCACCACGTGCATCGCAATATAAAAAGAGGATTCTATCACATATAAACTGCATTTCTCTATTTATTATGAATATTTTTACAGAAAATAAAATAATTTCTATAATACTCTACCCCCAAATTATCTATTTTATCAACTTCAAAATATTTCAGTATTTATTTATTAGTATAAAAAAAATTATTAATTAATATAAAAAGAGTTGCAATTTTTTGTAAGGTTTATTGTGTTACAAGCTTCGAATCAACAATTAAAAAATATATATATGAAAACAAAAACTCTATAAATTATAAAGCATTCACCAAATGCATAGCACGTGTCTTTTCCTAATATATATATATATATATTTGAAAAGTTCATTGTCATATATTGCTACTACAACAAAATAAAATAATAATAATAAAATAAAATAAAATAAAACTGTGAGTTACATAAATCCAATATTTTTAAGATTCTTGTCATATCATTAACAAAAATTCCTTATTAGCAAAGTAATCTTAGGAATTGAAGACATTTCTCAACTATTTTCACCTTAAATTAAACTCCATCAAGACAAACAAACATTCAAAGAGGGATTTAGAAAAAAAAAAAAAAAAAAAAGGCTTTGTATTAAATAATAATAATAATAATTGTTAGAAGTTATTTACCTTATAAAATATTAAGAAGAATTTGTAACATTAACGATATGGAGTGAAAATATCAAATGGCTAAACTTATTATTATCATAGTATCGAAGTTGAATGGAAACGTCACAAAAACCTTGATATGAGCTGTAAGAATAGTTTATGTAAATATACTGCCTTCCTCATATCTTCATTTTATTTATTTTTTATTTTTTTTTCTCTCTCTCTCTTTCTCTTCCTGAACCAGGGTATCCAAGATTTTGCTACGACTAGCGCAACATGAGTCGATTAAGCTCAGGCTTTTACCTGCGGGCATGATCTAAGGAATTGTTTGTTGCGACTAATCTCCAGAACACCGTGCAAAGCACCCCTTCCATATGGTCGGTAAAGTTTGGATTTTCACTAGGGCCGGCCTGAGACTCCCAAAATTTTGAGAGATTTTAAGTGAACTTTCAAATATAAGACCCTTTATACATAAAGTTTCGCACATGCCAAAAATTTTATTAGAATGCAAAATTTTCATTAAAATGAGACCATAAACACAAAATATATTAATGTTGAAAACATATAAAACAAAACTCGATATTTGAGCTTTATAAAGAGCACGGTTCAGTTTACATAAAAAAAAAAAAAAAAAGTATTCAACACAACTTAGTCACAAAAATCAAAATTCAATTTCATATCAAAATGAATTTGATCGTCTTGCAATATAATAAGCTGCAAAATTATCAATTAAAGTGTTCGTAGATAAAATTTGAGGTTAAAGTCTATCAATTACTTACCTTGGTTTGCCCTTATCCTCTTCAGCTATCAATGCAACTGATTGTCAAACCTTGGTGAATAGAATCACAAAGAGAATTACAATGTGGACTTCAACATTCTTATCTTATGCTGGTAAAGCAGTGCTAATTAGATCCATACTCTACTCCATTCAAGCCTACTGGACACAAGCTTTCATACTGCCACAAAAAAGTGATTGATCAAATCAACCAAGTAATTAGAAACTTCTACTGGTCTGGAATTGAGCTGAAAAAGGGGGTGCAAAGGTTGTTTGGACTGCTATTTGTAGACCAAAAGTTAATGGTGGGTTGGGTTTTCCTTGTTTAGAGTTAACAAACAGGCTCTCAAGCCTCAAACACATTTGGAAGTTGTGTGCTAGGAAAGACTCCTTGTGGGTTGCTTGGATTCACAGGTACCTCATCAAGAATAGAAGTTTTTGGACTGTCAAAGCTTCAGCATTAAGCTCTGGATTCTGGAGAAGACTCTTAAAGCTAAGGGACATGGTAAGGGGTTTAATCAGGCACAAGATTGGCTCAGGTCTGAATACAAGTTTGTGGATTGATTATTGGCTTCCTAATGGACCTATATCATCTCAACTCAATCTCACTGAAATGGAAATTCTTCAACTGGACTGCCAAGTTAAAGTTGATAGCCTAATTTCTAATTTTCAGTGGATGATCCCTCCCTCTTTTCAGCAAAATCCATTCTTCCAGTCTTAATCATTCATTTCTCAGCTCAACAGCACACTCACACCTTCACCAACATCAGACCTGATTCAATGGTTACCTAATGCTCAGCAAGGCTACTCTCACAAACTCACCATAAAATACTTCACTCCACCTTCATTCTTGTTTGCATGGCACCATATTGTTTGGTTTAAGCATCATATCCCAAAGCATGGTCATATAGTTTGGATGGCCATTAAGAATAGAATCTGCACACTGGACTCAAAACCCATGAGAAATAAGCATAGAACAAATGCCTGCTTTTTGTATTTAGCTAATTGGGAGTCGTTGGATCACCTCTTTTTTAAATGCAGCTACACCTATGCTATTTGAAACTTCATTCAAAATGTTGCAGGTTTCTATATTCTACCAAGTTGCTGGTCTGAATTGATTGATTGGTGCTCAAAGTTCTGGAAGCATGGTGACTTTACAATTCATAAGCTGCTATTGTCAGTGGCAATTTATTTCATTTGGCTGGAAAGGAACTCAAGAGCATTTAGAAACAAGTCATCCCCTCCTCACATCCTCATCAGAACAATCAGAAATTGTGTTAAGGCAAGACTTGCCTCAATCAAAGTAAGAAGGAGTGAAAACTTAAGGAGAGTTGAAACAATGGAGCAGCTCCAACAGCTTTTTCAACAAGGCTGTGCTGTTTCCCTTTGACAGCATGACCATTTAATTTGTGTTGTGCTCCAACTAAGCTAATTGGCACGTTGCCAGTTCTTTTTGTTATTGCAGCCCAGCTATCAGCTAAAGGTGGATGCTTTGCATATGGTCCATTTATAGTTTATGGTTACTGATTAGGTCTCTGCTAATTCCTGCTTTTTGAGTTCATGTACTCAAGGTTTACAAGTTGATTTCTGTTTCATTATTTCATTGGTGGCAATGGCTTCTGACTTTGCCCTTTTGTTATTGTAATAGCTCCTGTAGCTTTGTGTTCTTTATTGTACAATTTTTCCTCTAACTTTGAAAAGCTTCTCACAACAAATGCAACTATAATTGAAATAGTCAGTAATACTCTATATGCAATCCAAGCATTTGAAAAACAATAAGCTAGCCTTTTTATAATACCCAATACCTAATTGCCTTTTTGTTCTTCTTGATAAAGCTTTTCTTAAGAATTGGAACCCTAAAAATAATTATATCTCATTAATATAAGAAATTATGTCATGTTTAAGGAAATCTTCAAGATTATTTTGGAAAATGTGACAGTTGATTGCATTGAGTTAAAAGCAGGCTTAACGGAGCCTATCATTCACATGAACCCAAAAATAATATAATAAGTTTTTCAATTTAAATATACAAAATTCTTTCTTTTTTTTTAATTCTTTTCGTTCTTTGATGGGAGGGGATATAAATAAATTATTGTTGCCATATAAATTATTTTATTTTTATTTTTTTTAAGACAAGAAGTGTTAGAAATTAGATTAGTAGATACAGAGAATCGAACTCCAAAGTCGACAAGAAGTGTTACAAATTGTTGTGTTAGTAGATGCAGAGAATCGAATTCCAAAGTCCACAAGAAGTGTTACAAATTGTTGTGTTATATATATATATATTATAATTACTTATGTTTATTGGCATGATTTTTATTTTAACGTTATTTATTGTCATAAATTTACTTGATATATAAATGTGTATTGTCTTCTAATTATGAAAATTATGATTACATATACTTACTAAAATATTTGAATCATAATTTGGAGGTCCTAATGAACTGATTTGTCCTTTTCCTCCAGGACAGGCCCTGGTTTTTTCATTTACAGTAAATTAAAAATAATTTTTTTTAACTTTAGAGATTTAATTCATCTGAGAGTATGTTCGAATTATGAATTATTGCAAAACATACTAATCAAAATTTAACCTTCTATAACAATAAAACACAATTAGATCTAAATATTAAACCACCATTAAGAGAAAGAGGAAAACTAGGACTACAAACTCTTGCCACTCCGAAAGAAAATGGAACTAACACTCAATTATTTATAGCCAACAAATAGAATATCTAGGCATAACATTATCAGCAATTTACAATTAAAACATGTAGAATCTCATACATGAATGGGGAAATCTAGAATCTAATACATATACATTGTGGCCTTTCCAATGCATGTTAATAAGATCAATAAACTATTAAAATTAAATAAATATGTACCAAGAGCCTTTTAAGGGAGAGATTTAGAATCTGTTACCACCAAAAGCCTTGTAGTTTGATGATATTTTCTTAAAAAATATACAATCAAAACTGTTAAAAATTTCCGATTTCTTAGTACAAACTTCAAAACTAATTTATTGTTTTTATATTTTTTAAATCAGTATCTGATATCAATTATAGTGCTGGTAAAAGGAATTACAGAATAATTACTTGGGCCCTGCAAGTGATTTTTCTTTTCAAGAACATACATGTATATATATATATATATATATATATATCAGTATATGCACACTCTGTAGAATTCACACATATATACATGCATATATCACTAAGACCACAATTAATTAAGGCCATAAAATTAAACCCATTCCATAATTCCCAAACTGGAAATGAATATTATATCATCAATCCATTTATTATAAAGAGGAGAAAGTAATTAAATCAGATCCAACAAAAAAATTCCATTTAATATATATATATATATATATATATATATATATATATCCAAATTCATAAAATAAAATAAAAATTCGGAAAGTTATCCAAATTCATAAAATTGTACAAGTACTAGGCTATTCTAACATGTAAAAGTAGGTACGTAGCATGGCATTAGAATCCAAAACCTAACACTAGTAGTGGCTAGAAAAAGAAATTAGCTAGTCTAATTAAGTACTCCATTTTTTTCTTCGTGTCTTGCCCTCCCCGTTTGAGGGTTGTTGATCAGGGACATATCTTTTCCAATACCAGTGTTCTTCCCACACTTGTGACATCTCTTCTCTAGGTATGTTCTTCGTCTCCGGCAAAAAAAGGGCCACGTAAACCGACATTATGGCCACAAAACACGCGAAAAAGACGAACAACCAGTACTTCATACCACAAAGCATCTTGAGGAAGAATTGTGCAAAGAAGATATAGACGAGCATGCCGACAGCCATTGTAATACTCTGCGCAGCTGAACATATGTCCAGTGGAAATATTTCGCTTGCCACCACCCATCCTAATGGTCCCCATGACCAAGCGTAACAAGCAACAGCAGAGCAGATGCACAACACTACCAGAATGGCATACCATTTGGACAAATCTTTCATTACACCCGACACTCCAATTTCTATTTTTCCACTAAGAAATGCCACTGCAATCTGCATGCATAAACAAATTAAATCAATTATGTGTTTCATTTAAATTAATATAAGAAAAAAATGCATTAATTAATTAATTGTTAGATCTGATCGAGCACATGTTGTTAATAAAAAAAACATGTTTGATATATTATATAAAGGTAAGTGTTATTCAGGCTTGTTAATTAGGTCAAACAATTTCAATCGACCATAATTGTTTCACTTTTATAAATAAGAACTTATATAAAACATTTTTCAAAATTAAAGTACCTGAAGTATGAACATTGGGATACCACCAAGCAAAAACATTTTCCTCCTAAACCACTTATGAATTGCAAAAAGAGCAACAATGGTTGCTACAAGCCTACAACATTGGCACCGCCGGCAATGACTGCTGAGAAGAGCGAAGCATCATTTGGTAAACCTAGGGTTTTGAAGAGTACAGGAGCATATAGCATGACACCGTTAATACCAGTGAGTTGTTGGATTAATGGGATGAAAATCACTATAAGAAAAAAGGTCTTTTACGAGTGCCCAAACACCTCGTGAAAACGCAAATCCCTTCGTCGTCTATTATGCCCTTGTAAATGCTCTTAGCTTTTTACGAGGACTAGTAGAGCTCGTAAAATAGTAAAGTACGAGACACCAGGCATCTCGTTAATAACTAATTCACAAAGACTAACTGATCTTGTCAATAATTAATTTACGATTTAAGAAGCCTCTCGTTAATAATTAATTTACTGTGTACTTAGCCTCTCGTTAATAATTAATTTACAATGTAACTAGCCTCTCGTTAATAGATGCTGCAAACCGTAAAAAACTTTTCTACGGGAAGATTCTCTCCTTGTAAATAATGTAAAGACTTTTATTCAATGATCGTGAAGACCCTGTAAATAACATATTTGTTTATATTTAATAAAAGCACATTCAATTAAATAAGCCCCGTAAATGCTAGTCGTAAAAACACACTTTTCTTGTAGTGAATGGACAAAATTAGTTGAGGTCTGTATTTCCTCTTTCGGATGTTACGCCAAGGGTGTTTTACTTTCTGTGATGCTCGGATAGTGTCCACCAAGTGGTCGTACCCGGCCTCAATGTCGTCGACAACGCCACGAATGTTTTTGAGCTTTTGTTTGGCCTCCTTATACTTGCCTCTCTCTATCAGAGAATCTGGAGTCGGAATTGAAATATGCCGAGATGATGATAAAGAAAGCGATGATTCCACCACCAACCAAGCTGTAACGCCAGCCATCCTTCATCTCTGAGGTGGTGAAGTTAATGAAATTGGCTATCAATATGCCAACCATCATGCTGAGATTGTAAAAACATGCAGCCGTACCGGAGACATATAGTGGTAGCGACTGCATGAATAATATTATTGCATTCATCAATATTAATTTTAAAAATATATCAAACATTGAAGAAAATAATTACAATATGTATATGTAGAAAAATAAAATAAAATAAAATAAAGATTCTCGCATGCTATATGCATAACATGTATATTAGGTCAAATAAATTAGAGTTTGCTTGATTTGTCACTGTTTCTAAAAAATTGAAAATTATAAAACTGTACAAAAATTTTATTGGATTAAAACTATTTTCTAAAATCAGTATATTTTCAAAGAACTATTTTTATACTTCTCTAAAAACAGTTTTTTGTTTCTAAGAATTGATTTCAGAATTACAAACGAAACACGAGCAAAATTATGCATGTACATACAAGATAGGATAGCTTCCAAACACGAGTCAAGACCGAGTCTATGATGATATCATCATATTTGATGACTTCGTGATGACATTATTCCTTACTCACATAAATCAATTGGATACATCAGACTATTTATCATTATTCATTTGCTTATATGTACTCAAAAATAATTTTCTAATTTATAGAATATCCAATTCCAGACTAATAGACATTAATCCTATAAAAGGAGGTAATACTTGCACTTTTAGAAAAATAAATAAATAAAATAAAATTAATGCACTCCACCTTCTTTTGTACTATAATCTTTAATTTATTTTACTTTCTTCATTTTCTTCTCTAGTATTTATTTATTTATATATATTACATAAATATTTTTTATTCTAACAAAAAAGATAATTTATTCAACATGAAATACCTGAACACCAAAACCAGCTCCGATCCCCAATAAAATACGTCCCACAATAAGTATCCATAATTTACCCGCAAAAGCATTAAGCATGGCGCCAATAAAAAAGATTAAGCCACTCAAAATCATACAATTTCTGCGACCACATTTTTTGACGAGCCACAAAGTCGAGAAGAATGCCACAAGCACGGCCATGTAAAAGCACGAGGTGAAGAAAGTCAATATATTACTGTCGAATTTGCAATACCGCAGGTTCCCTGATTGATCAACCTCGGGGAAAAATTTACTCAAAAAGGGACCCATGCAAGTCACACCACCTATTATTCATCCAAAACAGCCACACACACATACATATATGTTTATACACATATACAGCACATAATCGTATATGGATACATATATATAAATTGACAAAGAAAAAAATAAATCAGCATGATTAATTACCGGATATTCCGATCTCGTATCCATACATAAGTCCACTAGCCGCACCAAAAAGCCAAGCTGCCACCACATATCTGGTGATTTTTCGAGGATAATTAGTATTATCAACCTTATTATTATCATCACCCTTAGTATTATAGCCCATTTGAGTTAAAAAACAAACTAGAGAGAAAAGACCAGAGTATATGTGTGTGTGTGTGAGATTTTATACAGGAACAAAGTTTATCCCTTAAAATTAAACTCTTAATCCCTTTACAACTTTAATTACGAGTTGATTTTGCGCACTATTTTTGTTGTCAGAACTCTTAATCCTTTTAGAACTAGATAATTTGTTGTCTAGTTAGATCTTAATTACGCACTAATTAATTACAGTAGTTATCAAACTCTTAATAGTAGATAATTTGGTCAAAAGTTAGCTCTTGCTCCTTAGTCTAATTTAGAAGTTAGATTTTTTCGTTGTCCGGTTGATGCTTAATTCATTTATTTTCCAGTTACAAGTTGGATCCCAAAATATTTTTAACATAAAGCGAATTGGTTGATTTTAGTTTTGTGGTCCACTTATTTAGTGACACGCCCTTTTAATTTAGTTATAGATATAAATTACATAATCCGAAAAAGGAGTAGCACTCGAGATCCATTCTTTTAACATGGGATTCCTTTTAACACTTTTTTGTTAATTTTTTTTTTAATACATAACTTGTTTACTATCGAGCAACGGTTTAAATTTTCACCATCTCTATGTTTTTGAAGTATTTTGTTTTAACGTTTAACTAGTACTATACAAAAATGTTGTGACCAGTGAATTTTAGTCGTCCAGTCATGCGTTGTTGTGGTTTGTTGTGCTCATATATAAATTATAAAATATGTTTGAAGCCATATTAAAATTGATTCGGTCAAATCTGTAGTCTAAATAATGAAATATTTTTATACATATTAATACGCAGGAAAGCAAGCATCATATTAATATGATAAATTGTAGTCTTTTTGTTACATTCTGATAGTATGATCCATTTATATTGCATGAGTGTCTATGAACATTGTGGATGTGGTTCAGCCATGTCACCAAAGGTCAAGTCAAATAGTCAACACTTTGACAAGATCTACCTCAGCAAGGCGAGCAGTAGTCGACCGTTGGGCCTCAAACTTTGAAAACATTCGGTCAATGGACCCTGGGCCTTGAACCACGGGCCAATCTCCAGATTCAGTCGATGGGCCTTGAACCTCGATCTGATCTTCACAATTTATCGATCGACGGGCCTTGAACATCGATCCGACCCCATCACAATTTGTCGATCGACAGGCCTTAAATCTCGATCCGACCCCATCACAATTTGTCGATCGACGGGACTTGAACCTCGATCCGACCCCATCACAATTTGTCGATCGACGGGCCTTGAACCTCGATCCGACCTTTTCACAATTTGTCGATCGACGGGCCTCGAACCTCGATCCGACCTTTTCACAATTTGTCGATCGATGGGTCTCGAACCTCTATCCGACCTCTTCGCATCTTATCAATCGACGAGCCTCGAATCTCGATCTGACTTCTTCATAGCTTGTCGATCGACGGGCCTTGAGCCTCGATCTGACCTTGTCACAGTTTGACGATCGACATATCCTGAACCTCGAATCAATGTAGTAGCAAATCATCAATTGATGAGCTTTGAGCCTTTATTCAAGCAATGAAGAGCTATGGTAGGGCTCTTCGAGTGACACTGGGCTGTAGAAGGGATTTTGGAATGGTTGATGGAAAATTAGTAATGTCTTGCCCACTAAGGCAAGACCCAGTTTGAGGATAAAAGAAAAAGACAGCTGGAATGGTACAATTGCCTTTATAGCCTATCATTCTTGGATTATTCAACAGGAAAGGTACACTTGGCAGTCGATCCAAAAATATAGGGATTAGGGCATCATGACCTAATTTGGCAGGATTCTGACCCACTCTAAAGATGGAGGCCCAACAATGTACCACCTGGATGACTTAGTGATATAAAAAGGAGGCAATGACAAAAAAGAGGTAAGAACTGACGGTAGCTCCTTCCCTACCATTGCTCAAGATTCTCTTTCTGGACTGATTTTCTCTCCCTTCTTTCTACCCTTCTGCATTCTTCACATTGCTAAATGGTATATTCCCATACCTTCTTGACTCTTCCAGGACCCATGCAGAAATAGGTATCTACAAACATGATATGATATTACGGGTTATACCATTACATCGAATCGCATTAATTTGAGATACTAGAATTAGTAAGATCTGAGATATTTTTATGTGGGTTATAAAGATATAAGATTTATAATTTGAGATATTAGAGAAAACATTTAAATTTATTTAATATAAGAATATGATGCTCCTCCCATGCCGCCGGATTTGCTTTTGTTTCTGTTCCAGACACATTTGCTTTTCTTGTTCTCTTATATGGGCTTCTATATAAGTTGTTTGGCCCAAAGCCTTATATAGTTCCCTTTTTGCGCTCTTTATACAATTGAATTTACTATATATATATATAAGAATATGATGTCCAAACATGAAGTTTGTGAGAAAAATGTCAGTTTAAAGAAATATATCCTTTTAACCCAACAAAAACCCACTTAAATATAAAGAAGAGAAAAAGTGATAATATATATAGAAATGACGACTAGTCTGAAAAATTAATATGGTGTATTGATGTTTTATGTATGTATAGAGGGTATATACCTTTGTTTATACACAACTGATTTGTGATGGTTAGTTTTCTAATATTAAAAAATTGTTCAGACATTAATATTTTTTAAAAAAAAAAAAAAAAAATTCAAATGCATTTCTTAAATATATTTTATAGCTTTTAATTTTGTTTAGACAATATTATTCTTAAAAAGAGATGTGAAAGTGGTGAAGGAGGTGATAGTGGCGGTACTGAAAATGACAGTGGTAGTGGTAGTGGTAGTGGTAGTAACGGTGGTCGTGGTCGTGCAGTATTGTGCAAGGCGGCAGCCAATGGTGGACACAAGAATTTTGTTGAGAGACAAAAAACAAATTTAAAGATAAATTTTTTAAATAAAATAATAATTATAAGAACCTAATTACTTAATGAATGAGAGAGAGAGAGAGAGAGAGCCAGATTAAATTGGCTTTTTATTTTGTTTCATTAGGTGGAATCAATTAGAAAAGAAAGGAAAGAGAAATTTTTTAAACTATTTTGGGGTTCGGATAAAATAAAAAATAAAATAATAATAATAATAATTGGTTTCCACCTATTTTGCCCACCCAAAACTTTTTGCACAAAATAGGCCAAAATATGTTATTTTTATTTGACTATCCTATTTTATTCAACTAACTTGTTTCTATTTATTTTTGAATAATTATCTTTTTTTTTTTTGTGAGTTGTCAACGAGTATTTTTATAAATCTTATTTCTTTTCTTATTTTATTAAAAAAAAAAAAAGATGACTGGTATCTTTTTTTAATATAATCCACTGTCTTAACAGTGTATAGACATAAATAACGAAAAAAATAAAATAATAATAACTGATTAGGATGTTCAAAAATAAAAGAAAAAAATATTGATATTTAGTTGAGCATCGATCCTCTCTCTAATCATGTCTAATTCAAGATCCATAAATTGGTTGTGTTATTTTTTTTTTTTCACCATTCATTGCATAATATTTATTTTTTAAATTCTAAAATATATAAGGTTAGTTTTAGTAAATAGTATTACCTTTTTTTTTAACTTTCATCACACTCAAACTAACAAAATAATATTTTCTCATAACTTTATTGAAAAATTTTCCTGCTCACTAAATGATTTTCCTTTCTTTCACTCTCACTTTTTTTATCGTAAATTCCTATCTAACAATACGAACCCAGTATAAAAAATCAGGGAGCAAGAATATATGATGAGTATTTTAAAATATTGGGAGGGGGCATTTCTTAAATTTTAATAAAATACATAAGTGATAATACAAATAAAAAAGTTTCCTTGCGGCAGTAATAAATCAGTCCTAATTGAAATTTCAATGGGGTATAGAATTATAGCTCACACAACCGCAAAGTGTTCTAATCCCTCGCCCTGGTGTTGGGATTCTCAGAATTCTTTAGGTCTCAACCGTAGATCAGTGAAAAGCCCAAGTGCTCGGGATTGGGTTTCCAAAATCACGATCCTTGCATGCACATTATGCTATGTTTCAGGATACGACACAACACTGATATATTGACATTTTAAATTTTTAAAAAGTAAGATACAGATATGATTTGGACACAACTAAATATATGAATTTTTATTTATATACATATATTAAATAATTATAATATAAAATTTTAATTCATTTCTAATTTTTATATTATAATGACTTATATATATATATATATATATATATATATATATATATACACACACACACAGTTATTTCACTACTTTATCATAATAATATTTTTATTTTAAATGAACAAATATCATTTAATATTTTACTTGTGATCATATGTGTATAATATCAATTTTTCTTATAGAAAAAAAGTTGGAATACTTTCGAATGTGTTCATATTATTTTCAAGATTATCGGATAGGTTTGTAAACTTTAATAATTCGTGAAACCAATAATTATAAATTTACATTAATCCCATATCTTAGAACTTCAAGATTTTCTCACATCTATAATGCATAAATAAATAGTTAGATATAAATATCTCAATCTGTAATTACAAATCTTGTTGAGATCAAGCCAAATATCAAGATCCTTTTTACCGAAGAACAACGTGATAAACTGAAACTGATTTCTCTCTCTTGGCCTTTTGCACACATAAAACTTTTACGTGTTGTATCATTAATTGTACATAATTAATGGAGTATATGCACTTTTATAAAGGCAGAGAGATGACCAATTTTTCTTTTAGTAACATAATTCTACTTTCCATCAAAGTAAGGAATAAGAAAGGAAAACACTTCTCCAATAAGTAATTACCAAAAATGTAATTATAAGTTGACCAAAAATAAATAATATTAATTGATATCTATTTATTTAGCCATCAAGTAATATGTCACATGTCCAAATTATATGGGCCACAATTAAATAAATAATCTTATAAGGTTTATGTTAAAAATGTTTAAAAGTGCGGTCTAAGTGTTCAAGAAATGTCGGCGAAGTATACGAAAGTGTCCAAAATAATAAAAAA